TTAGCTAGGTCAGGTAGCAACTGCTAACCACCTATGCAGTTAAAACCATCACCTACGCAGTCAACTTTCCTCATAACTCACCAAAAACGCGTCAACAAGCTGTAATTCCTCCACATGTGACCACCCAAGACGAGGCTTCAGTTGGGTCTGTGTGGCGGCGATACACATGGACTGCATAACAACAACAAAAAATAAACGCTGGTGTACTTTCACTATGCATTCATTATGGTCAACACTCCTGCCAGAGGACGTATACGTTGTACTCTCTCTCTCTCTCTCTCTGTGTGTGTGTGTGTCTATAAGTACCATGATCCTCACTTCAGGTTTCAAAAACAAAAGAGTCTATAGCAGGGAATTGTTTTATATCTTTTATACTCCTTGAGCTAACCCCCTTGATCAGAGCCACATCTTGGAGGTCGTACCATCCTTTCAGGCCGGTGTAGCGGTCGAGTGGCGGTCGAGTGTGGTGAAGGCCAAGAAATATTTCACAAAATGTAAACAAAAACTTGGCTCACCAGACCTGACTTGACGTGGGCGCGGGACAGGTTTTTCCCGGACTGCCCCTAAACAAGAACTCATTCCACTGACTTAAGGTGAAAATAAACAATAGGGGATGATGTACTAGTTGTTCTTCACACAGCATGAATCTGACCTATATACATATATAGTTGTTAATGAATATGATGCATTTCTTTGTGTATGAACCTCTGTCCTGCGTGGCAGTAAGAAGTGATACCACCCTCAGTGTCAAGACCCGACTGAATTACTCAGAATAGGCAAACTGTACTACAAGCTTTGTCAATAAATTTGTTAAACTATAAAAAAAAACCCGACGCCCGTAAAACTTTCACTTCCCTGCCTCACTTTTCCTACGGTCTTGTCCTCGTGTCAGGGTGAGCCAGTTACCCAGCAATACCACCCTGGAGCAACTTAACTACTAATCCAAAGTAAACAAACAAATGACTACCTCGATTGATTGATTTATATCTGCTAATATAAGTCTTTATTAACAACAATGACAGTTTGTTTATGGCTTTTATCTCACAAGAAGAAGTCTGTATCGCCCTTGTTGACACCCACAAGTTTCCTTCACCTTTTCCCCGGCAACAAACTTTACCTATAAGAATAAAAACTAGAGTAATCGTCCTTCTTCATGCTAGCCGGAAGAGAGAGACAGTGCAGCCGGGTGTTGTGTTGTGTCTGCAGTTTGACGCGGGGATGAGGGAGTGTGCCTGAGGAAGACTTGTGGGAGAAACCTGACCCTGCATGAGTGTATTGAGAGAGAATAAAGTTTTGGGCGGGTTTGTTTATTATTTTTTATGGGGGATAGGGGATAAGGGGGTATGGGAAGGGGTGAAGAGGGATAGGGGAAGGGGTAGAGGTGAAGGGGGGATTTTCACTAGAAGTATAGTCAAACACACTAGCTAAATCATATTGGCCAGGAGACCTTTGCCTGTTTATTTGGATTGTAACTTTTTTTTATCATTTAACTTCCCAGGCAGGCGTGTCAGGTGTATTTACCACAACTATTACATACTTTCTCTTATTCTACATTATTGAAGGTTTGGGCCATTTACATTGACCTATTGAATAACATCTACAAAAAATATACAATATATATGGCTTATTATTTACAGATAGTTTAAAAAATACAGTTACCAGGTGTATTACAATACATTCAGTCTTGCATTGATTCAGGTTGGAGGTGAAACTCACTCCCAGACTTAACGAAGGTTAGAGCCACAAGTATAACAAACTAGAGAATCATCCCAGATACACCAAAATAATCCCCATTGCTTCTAAGTGTACACAGTCAGCAATGTACAGTCAGCAATGTACACAGTCAGCAATGTACACAGTCAATTCATTCATGTCTTTCTCAACAACTACGGCAGCGTACTTAGCCCTTGGGTGAACTAAGACCAAAAGATGTTTCCTGACAAGGTTCGGCGGGGTCTGTTGTCATGATCATCTCGTCTGTAATCGTGACCTATGGTGCGGTTATGTGGTAGATGTGCATCGCTAGGGAAGTGCGGTGTTGACGGGTTGGGGGTTAAGGTGGTGGGCGTGGGTGTACGGACGTGTACGGAGAAGACCTTGGCCCTGAGGTGACCCCTTCTGCTTCCTCCGATTGTTATCATCCTCCGTGAGTCACAACACGACGCCTTGCACATGGAACGCTTCTCCTTTCTTCCTTCCTTCATCCCTCCCTCCTTCCCTTTCTTTTCTCACTCCGTTACCTCTTCTTCCCCTGCCGCTCCTTCTCCCTCCCTCTCATCTCCTCCTCTCCCACTGCATCCTTTCTTTTAGCTCTTATGCCCAGGCCAGGATGCTGTCTCCCCCTCCCCCTTTCCTCTTCCTCCCTGACACACACACTAGACAACATCGCCATTGTCTGATGAAACTGATAAAGGGTTATATCTCACAGGTAGACCCACAGGTATGCAAATAACCAAGTAAAAGACTCACAATCACTCAAGGTCCTCTGATAGCGTCTGGATCCCGTGTAGTGTAGGCTGGGGTAGCGCTTATACAGATATCTGGAAAAAAAATAGAATAGTTTGTTAAAAAATTACAGAAAACTAATTAGAAAATTAAACAAAGAAAATGGTTAACTTTGAGAGATATGACAAAGATCAAAAGAAGACTCAAAAGAATAGCTGGATAAAAGATAAGTAAATGGAAAGATATGAAAAAATACTGAAAATGCAAAAATGTAAAACTGGAAACTTCTAAAAAAAAAAAAAAATAATAATAATAATAATCCAAACCAGAAACACAAAAACATTCAATACCACAAGAAAAAGAAAATACCCCAAACTCCAAAATGATAATTCTGTAACGCAAGAATAAATACAAAAATAACAGTTTTGAATATGACGAGATTTTATGCGTCCAAGGTGTAGACAGCCATGACTAGAGTGAATCCGAGTTCCTCCGACAGATGGCGTCCTTAACTGCGGCTTCGACATCTCGGTCAGGCTTGTAGTGTTCGGGAAATAGGTACTTGAGGTTTTAGCGTTTAGCACCTGCGATGTGTGGCAGTGAACACACCTGTCCAGTGGTGGTAATGAGGAGGAGAAGGAAGAGTTGGAGGAGCAAAAAGAGAAGGGGGAAGAAGAGGAGGGGGGAGGGTGAAGGAAACAGGTAAGGTAAAACTGTGAGGGAAAGAAAGATAGAACGTAGGAGGGATAAAATAAACCGGTTAGGATTGCGAAGGTGTTGCGGGGGAAAAGAAGCCGGAGAGGAGAGTTGAAAGAAGAAGAGGGAGGAAAGGAGGGAGGAGGACTCAGTGGGGGGGGAGAGGTGGAAGAGAAGAAAGACGTATATAAAAAAAGACTATTTATATTACACACAAAAATAAAAGCCACACAAAAAGCCGGAGGCGGAAGATCGTGGTTAGGTTAGGTTTTTCTTTACATATGATCTGTACTTGAACCCCTCCCACCATCCTTCCCTCACCAACACGCCCCTCCCCACCGCCCCATTCCCTTCCCTTCCTGAAATCCCCAAATCTGTTGACATGTTGTGAACTCCCGACTTCACAGGAAACCAGATTCTTACCAGACAAGACTTTATCTCTCAATACCAGTTCGAAATCCCGCTACACCTAAACCTGAGCACAAAGAAACGTAAACAGCTCTAAATTAGGGTATCCTGTTTTGAGGGTTTCTTAGCATCCCGGGATTCTG